TGCATTAAGCAGGGAAAACTGCAGCTTGGTCATTCCTAGAATAAATCTTTAATGATTAATGTCTAGAAATTTTATACTGAAAGATTTTGTGTTGCCTTTGACCATTATGAAATTTTAATATTGGTCCAATGTCAGCTCTAAAATCTTCTACAACTATGTAACAACTATAGCTAATGACGTAATAAAATTGAAAATTAAACGAGACTTACCTTAAGTTGAAGTTTAATTATAATTCTATAAGTCTAATTGTGGGCACAGTTTACTGTGAAGCACATTGCAGATGAGTTGCGATGCAAATGAGTGTCCTCAAAAGGAAAGGATTATCCAATGGAAGAGTATGTTCATTACTGTGTTAAACAGGGAAAAACTGCAGCTCGGTCATTCCTAGAATAAGTCTTTAATGATTGGCTATCACCACCATCTCAACCATAATGTGATGTTTGACAATCAGTTTGTGCTAGAAGCAAATACCAAAGTAATCGAGCAGAATGTCGACCCAGAACACCAATCAATGCTGTGTAAAGGCATTCTATGATCAAAAACGAGAGTTTTACTAATGGAATCCATGGGGTGCTACGGTGAACATGCAGTTCTTTTGGTGGGAACACGGTACAAAGGACAACACTATCATGGAAGGTGGTTTGTGGCTACGCTTACATTGCAACCAACAGCAAGCCTGCTGGTTCCAGTTTGGGCTGGATTTATTATGTCATCTGCTGTCTATTGTCAGTGGTCACACCCACATATTTAAGGAGAGAATTATTCAGAACCAGTCACTCTGTGCAACTGCGACTAGGCAAAGTAAAAGAACAAGTCATCCCACTACCCGAGGTTCAAAGGCCATTGCTTTCAACTGCCTCAATTAGTTTGGCTCCTGGTCGATTTGCCTGACCTTGATCCCAGTGTTAATTTCCAGTGTTCATTTCATAAAAACCTAGTTCGGCCAGCTTGTGGTTTTTGTCATTACAAAATCTTCCCCAAGAATAATAAACTTGAGGTATGCAAGTCTTTGCTTTGCTGTTAATTCATCACTGCTGGTATGACCACTATTCACTGTTAAACATTTTTCTATCTAGAATCACATATCAATCATTGGTGCAGTCCAGTTTTTTGAAAACCAAATTGAGAATCACTAAAAGTTCAAATTTTGGTCCTATCCAACATTGCGATAGTACCAAGGAATATTGCAATGTTGATTGGCTAGTTGCTCTGAGCAAGTTGGTAGCCTAATGTCTGCTAATTTAAAACATATTCACTTCCTAAGCAAAAATATAGCAAATATTCTCTGCAGATATTGTGTTATATTTCAACTTGTTGTGTCATATTTAGACAATTGTTATGGTTGTTTTTTTCCTGGTGAAGCTATTCTTGATTATGAAGATTTACTCGATAGAATAAAAATGGCTCTACCATATATACAAAGTATTCCAAGCAAATGCATTTGTCAAGCTGGTGGGTCAAACTCTCACCAGCTTGAGTATGGTATCAAAACTTTGTTACAGGATATAGCACTTCAACTTTAGATGATTTTAGCAAATGCTGCAGAGCAAATGGACAATCATACTTGTTTTACTGTAGATTAATTTCACATGTTAGTGTAATTTGCTATTTAGTACTAATACTAGACCTATACTGGGTATATAGTATTTACTGACATTGTTTTGTATTGTAATGCCTTATAATTAACAATGTGTAATGCATGTTGACATCATTGTGTTTGTATTTTTTATGTCAGGAAGTAAAAAATTTCAAAATTTGTTTTGCTTTGAAGTTTCCTGATTTTATGTCTGATTTTACACCTCAGGTTTTCTCATTGCAACCAGAGGTATATTAGTCTGTGAACCCAGATGTCATTTCCTACAATGAGCGTGAGAAATGACGTCTGGGTTTGCAGGCTAGAGGTATATAAAATCAGATTATATAAAATCATATTTTTCGTTCGCTACTCAGTTCACTGAAATTGTTGACATAAATACATGGGTTGGATGGGCATAGCCACACATGAAATGGGACAATCATGGATTACAGTAAAAATAGATTATTTTGTGACAAAAAATACAAAAATTCACATCCAAATGGAACCCAATGAGAAGAAGCAGGTATAGTATGTAAACAGCTCGCTTGCCCCTTTTTAGCATGCCCATAATGGCAATTGCCTGTCATTCTTCTTCTCACAATACCACCTTTAACATGTGATGAAGTTTTGCAGAGTTGCCCCAGTTCATAAATTGGGAAGTCGTACTGAAAAAAGTAATTACCATCCAATCTCCATTCATATTGAACATGGAAAACTTAATGGTGTAGCACTTGAATTTCGAAAAGCTTTTGACATGATCAACATCGATAGTCTTATCTAATTAAACTCTAATTATTAAATGGATGTATTCTTATCTGTCTGGAAGATATCGGTGTGTTCAAATTAAAAATCATGTTTGATCCTCTGAATTTGCAATTGTTGATTGGTAATTGCTCCAGCCAATTACTGAAGGATATATTAGTGTTAGCAGTGATGTAACAAATTTTTCCTCATCTCTACAATATTCACTTGTTTTTTAAAACCACAGATTTTCCTAATTGCACATACTAGAGTATGATCACTTATACCTGTATGAATGACACCAGAATCAGAAATTTTCTCTGGTGTATTAGTAACATGATCAATGAGACTGGTGGTTGTTATAGTCACTCGAGTACCTTCATCTATCAGTTGTGATAATTGATATCGTTTATACTATTGTTCCCAGTAAGCTGCAAAACAACCAGATTTTTTGGGCCAGATTTTTCTTCACCCAGTACATATCGATGTTCCACGCTTGTGTAAAGAGATAACATGATGAAACGTTAGTGCTCTTCCGGTGGAAAAACAAGTGCTTTTGCCATATTGCCATATTGCCAGAATAAATCCCCAATCACTAACTAGCTCGCTCCAAAACGAAATTTGGCAAAAGATGACTGACAAAGTAATGTACCAATTAATGAAGTTGAATATGTTGGAAAAGAGACAGATAGTTAAAATCGAACAACTGGCAACTAAGCAAGACAACAATAACTTGGAACACATTTTTGTGGCATATATTTTGGGCAGAGAAGTGCTCGAAAACAGTTCCGGCCGAACTGTCAGAGGCTCTCGCTAACCTAAGTTTTATCTAGAGAAACAGGCGAATCTCTAGACTGCAGAGGGCATGCTTGACTCTGTGCATGTCGTTCAGCGAGTTGAGACCTAGTTGGACTGGTGAACAACTATTGGTATAGGGCACATTACCCAGGGTACTCAAAGCTGGCTGAGGATACACGCAAAAACTGTAGGTTGTTCTAGAGGAACAGGCAGACCTCTAGATAACAGGGGAACAGCGAACCCCGTTCAGATCCGTCAGGCCGTCGACATTGAGACCTAGTTGGACTGGTGAACAACTATTGGTATAGGGCACATTACCCCGGGCCGCAACTGATAACCTGACTGACCACATCGAGTCTCTAGGACTGCTCATTCAGGTCTTCAGTGCGACCTGAATGAGCAGTGATTGCGCTTCACGTGGTGAAGTGTTGTCCATCGGACAGCACTTCCCTGCCAGTAATTAAATATTTATTGCATTTTTTTTTTTTTTTTTACACAAGTGGGTTACAAATCTACGAGTAACATGTCTAACTATATACAGGAATGTCCATTTTTACTAGTTAACAGTCCTTACAACACGCCATTGTAGAGACGCAGATTGGTGTACATGATTATTGGGAGGTGGGTGGGTTTTTTTCCAAATTTTCACTTCTTTGCCAAGGTTTTTTATCCCTTGAATTATAAACTAAAAATTTTGCCAGAGATGTTAATGCACTGGCTAAAGTCTTGAGAATGAACAAAGCACATCGAAACTGCGATCAAAAGTCTTTGCGCAAAAAGGGGGGCATTGTATGTATGCATGTGAAGGAAAACCTTCAGGATAACTTCTGATTGGTTAATCTCAAGTTTGCATCAGTTGTTCACATGCTTAGTAGGCAAAGTTCGATTTTTATCTGATATTTTGTAATATTAACAGGACTAGAAAACGGTTCCCTTGTTCTGCCAAGGTACTTGGACCTTGTACGGTATTGCACGGATTGATTTTGTGACACAGATGTGTTGGCAGACAGAAAACACCCTCGGGCAAATGGAGTCTTCTAGAACATATTACTCCATTAACCGCAATTTATAGCTTTGCTTAAATTGATTATTCAATGAAGTTGAATATGTTGGAAAAGAGACAGATAGTTAAAATCGAACAACTGGCAACTAAGCAAGACAACAATAACTTGGAACACATTTTTGTGGCATATATTTTGGGCAGAGAAGTGCTCGAAAACAGTTCCGGCCGAACTGTCTAGAGGCTCTCGCTAACCTAAGTTTTATCTAGAGAAACAGGCGAATCTCTAGACTGCAGAGGGCATGCTTGACTCTGTGCATGTCGTTCAGCGAGTTGAGACCTAGTTGGACTGGTGAACAACTATTGGTATAGGGCACATTACCCAGGGTACTCAAAGCTGGCTGAGGATACACGCAAAAACTGTAGGTTGTTCTAGAGGAACAGGCGGACCTCTAGATAACAGGGGAACAGGCGAACCCCCATTCAGATCCGTCAGGCCGTCGACATCGAGACCTAGTTGGACTGGTGAACAACTATTGGTATAGGGCACATTACCCCGGGCCGCAACTGATAACCTGACTGACCACATCGAGTCTCTAGGACTGCTCATTCAGGTCTTCAGTGCGACCTGAATGAGCAGTGATTGCGCTCCACGTGGTGAAGTGTTGTCCATCGGACAGCACTTCCCTGCCATTAATGACAATCTACACGAAGTATAGGTTGTCATTTCCGCCATGGGAAGCAGCACAGAGTCAACCGGGTCGGCAATAAAGTGAAAAATGGGTGGATAAAAATAAACTGCATGGCAAGGAAATAGCAAGACTTTTTTTTTTAAATAATTTTTCTTTGCATTTATAGCATGTCAATGTAAGGCAGATTTGTTAAGCGTTTAAACTTTTGTGGTTGTTTTTATTTGGAAAAACTAGTTACAGACCCGTTTCAGTTCATTGCCGACGCGGCCAAGTCCGGCTACGACACGCTTATAATTATTAGCCGGTCATGTGGACCGTTAACGCAAATTCAATGGATCTGTTTGCATTATGAAATCGCGGTATGAATGACCAACCCTCCATGAAGTACGCGAAAAGGATCCACATAACCATGCAGGCTATACCACTAACAGCTAAAGTAAATATAATAATTAACAGAGTGGACTTAGACCTTTTGGTTTGTATTTGCAATGAGTTTTGATGTTACAGACACTAAAACGTCCCTCGGAGTTCTTATATACCTTTCATAACAATCTGAGGACCAGCGTCCAAGAGTCTTTATTAGCCAAGTAGGGAGTCCTGCTGAACCAGCTGCTGTAGCTGCTCCAATTCTGAAGCTATGTGAAGCATACAGGGTTTCGTCTAGTCCTTGCTGCTGAAGTAAACTGCGTAGATGTGAAGTTAGTGTTGCATGGGTGAGTGGAGCTCCAGATTCAAACTGAAAAAGAGGTCGACTTTCGGGGATGGAAGGTGTTTGGAGTAAATAATTCTTCATTGCTCGTACAGGGCAGAATTCATTAAGCGATGATCCAATTGTTAAACGGCATCCACGGCGAAATGGGTCAGTTTTTGAGCGTTTGATGATGACGTCAAAGTGTTCTGCATTCAAAATGTTCGGGTAGAAAATAATGCCAGTTCTTGAAAGGTGGTATTCAGGATCAAACGGGGAATTACAAGTAAACTCTCTGCACCACAGAAAGCCGAAAAAGGCTAAAGTAAAGGCAGCCCAGAGCATCACATTGTCTATAGAATCTGTAAACTGGGGACGTAGTGCACGATGAAGACATGCGAGTTCTTTAAAAGTGATGGGCCGACGATCTCTCATTTTTTCACCCTTCAGGCATTTCAGACCTTTCAGACATTTTTCTAATAGTTGCATGGTCCCCATATTGAATGGCACTTGGAAAATGACGTGCAGATAAGACACGCTGGCTAGATACGTTTTGACAGTTGCATATGAAACTGATTGGGATAAATGTCCCACAAAGTAAAGTAAAGTAATTTCAGTCGCAGGCAGCAGAGGTGAACAAGGTGTCACGATCCCTTTTTCGAGACAAAAAGAAATAAACCGTTTAATACCAGCTGCGTATGTTTGTTTTGTTGAGGTGCCCAAGATTGTTGAATTAGTTCATACACACAGTCTCTTAGGTTTGAATCATTGATGACGGGATGACGCAAGGCAGAGGAGAGGCCAACGGCGCTAATTGCTTGAAGCGGTCCATCTGAAAACGAGAGAGCGAGTCAGCAATGCCATTATCGATTCCGCGCACATGTTTAGCGGTAAACGTAAAATTATTTGTTAGCGTACAAAGGACAATTGGTCGCAGTAAATCCATTATCTTCGGACTTTTAGAGGTTTTTTGATTAAGAACTTGAACGATGGACTCGTTGTCACAGAAAAACAATGCGTTTAGATGTCCACTGGGATCCCCAGAGACAGCAGGCAAGATAAATTGGATAAAGTTCTTGCCATGCGATCGAAATACCGGTTTTTTGGTTGATATTTTGTTCCGGCAGCCAAAGGCCTTGGAACCATTGCCCTGCTAAATAACCACCGAAACCTATGGAACCAGCTGCGTCGGTATACAGTTGAAGTGTTGGCGATG